TCCCACAGATATGCCATGCTTTATGCTCCCATTTATCAAAATATTTTCACTGCACATAATCCAATTCAAATTCCTCCTTTTCAAAGCCCAGACTCATCTTCTGTATAAGTCTTCCTAACTATTCCTACCTGAAGTGATTCTCGGTCTTCAGAAACCCTTGGTCATTTATTATCCATGACACATATTTGACACACTTTGTCCCCTTTAGTTTTCTTCTAATTTTCATATATTTTTATCTCCCCAACTAAACAATGAAGTAATTAAGGACCATTAGTATATCTTATTCACATAAAGGCCTTACTTTTAGAATCAATCCACTTTCATTTTTCTCCTTGTGATCTTGGTCTTAGTTTTCTCATCTGTGAAATGGAAATAGTGATGGGTATTTTTTTTTATTTTATTGAGTTTATTGGTACATTTAGGGATACAGTACAGTTACATTCATTGTTGGGATCATGTACCTTTACATGGCAAGTCTTGATTCTCATTTTTTTCCCCTTACCTCTGCCCTCCCTTCACCCCTCCTCCCCTCCCCATCTACAAACACTTTATTTTCATCTTTTCATTCTCTCACATTTTTTTCTTTTCCCTTTTTGTTCTTCCCCTACGTATCACACCTTCCCTACACCTTTAGCTCCTTTCCTCCCATTTCTAAATGTCAGTAATCTTATTAGAATCTTATGCATTGTTGCAGAATATTCACACCAGGGAAACTATTTGGTATTTACACATGTGGGACTTATTTATTTCACTTAGGAGTATATCTTCAATATGTATCCATTTTCCTATGAATGAATCTATTCTCTCGCTCTTTATGGCTGAGTAATATTCCATTTTATAGAAAAACCACAACTTCTTTATCCAGTTTCCAACGGATGGGCAAATAGGTTGTTTCCAAGATTTAGCTATTACAAACTGTGCCGCTATAAACATGGGTGCACATACTTCTCTGTGATATGATTCTTTTAGTTCTCTTGGAAAGATACCCAACAGAGGGATGGCTGGGTCAAATGGAACCTCCAGTCCAAGCTCTTTGAGGTATCTCCATATTGATTTCCATAGTGGTTGCACTAGTCTGCACTCCCACCAACAATGGAGGAGGGTTCCTTTCTCCCCACAACCCCGCCAACATTTGTTATTGTGTGATTTCTTGATAGCAGCCATTCTTTGTGGGGTGAGGTGGAATCTCAGTGTTGTTTTCATCTGCATCTCTCGAATGACCAGTGATGTGGAACATTTTTTCATATATTTTCTTGCTGCTTTCACTTCTTTGTATGAGAAATGTCTGTTCATTTCGGATGCCCATTTTTGGATCGGGTCTTTATATTTGGGGGGACTGATTGTTTTGAGTTCTTTATATATCCTTGATAATAGTCCTTTGTCTGAGGTACAGCTGGTAAAAATTTTTTCCCACATTGTAGATTGTCTCTTAGTTCTGCTAATGGTTTCTTTTGAAGTACAGAAGCTTTTTAGTAAGATGAGATCCCAGTTGTTGATTCTTTCTGCTAGTTCCCGTGCTACTGAGGATTTGTTCATAAAGTCTTTTCCTATACCAATGTCTTCCAGAGTTCTGCCTAACTTACTTTCCAGCAAGTTTAATGTTTCTGTTTTAATATTTAGATCTTTAATCCATTTGGATTTTAATTTAGTGCATGGCGAAAGATAAGGGTCTAATTTTAATCTGTGACAGGTTGATATCCAGTTTTTCCAACACCATTTATTAAAGAGGCTATCTTTCCTCCACTGAGGATGGTGAGCTCCTTTGTCGAAGATGAGGTAGCTGAGTACATCTGCATTTGTTTTTGTGTCTTCCAGTCTGTTCCATTGATCCTCAGGCCTATTTCTTTGCCAGTACCATGCTGTTTTTATCACAGTGGCTTTGTAGTATAGTTTCAAATTGGGAATTGTTACACCTGGTGCCATGTGACTGTTGCCTATAATGGCTTTTGCTATTCTAGGTCTCTTGTGGTTCCAAATGAATTTTTGAATTCTTTTTTCTAGTTCTGTGAAATATAGTGTTGGAATTTCAATTGGCATTGCATTGAATGTATATAGCAGTTTTGGTAGTATGGCCATTTTCACTATGTGGACCTTACATGACATAACACATGGAAGCTCAAGTGTCCACCAAGGAACACAGGGCAAGAGGCAAACTATGAACACTATGTTGTGGATAGGGAATCTCCCTGGTATCACTAAAAGCATGCTGCAGAGGCTGTCATTTGTCAGCCAAACGGTCTCTGTTAAGTCTACTCCAGAGACTTCTGAGGCTTTTGCCCAGTGAACAGGAGCAGCGTTGCCTTTCATATCAATAAAATTTGAACCTGCTTCAGAGAGCATGATGCCAATCTTCCTTGGGTCTTCAAGGTGGTAATAAAAATGCAGACCACAGAAGCCCATCTCCTGTCTGTCATTTTATTAAAAAGGCCCCAAGACTGTCCTACTAAAATGGAAAATGGGCTCAGTGAGAAACTTTCATTTCACAAGTACAGTCCACATGCCTGGGACATCAGCAGGAAGGATGTACTCAGCTGGTTTTTCATCCATACCTAAAGAGCAACAGATGCTAGCCAAAGAGATGGGGACATCTGTGCTGCTCCTCTGAGCCATGAAGGCCACGTGGGGGAGTTGTCTTAGTTTCTCTGAGACACAATACCCAATACCCGCAACTTAAAGGTAAGGTTTATTTTGACTTACCGTTTGTACTAGTTTCAGACCATAGTGAGCTGGCTCCAAGGCAGAGCAGTATGGTGGGGGGGGGCGTGGCAGAGGAGACTTAGCTTAAGGTATGGCAGTCAGGATGCAGATAGAGAGTAAAGGAAATAGGTAAACCCATGCAGTACCTCTCCAGTGACCCGCCTCCTTTGACCAGGCTTCCTCTCCCCAATCACATTCAGTTATAAAGTTGCAGCAGACTAATCCACTGATGAGTATCATGCTTCCCTGATACAACTGCCTCCCAAAAGTCTCATTTATGAGCCTACGAGACTTTGAGGGGGACAACATCCAAATATAAACTGTAACAGGTGGTAAAAAGCATTAAACTGGAAACTATAAAGTTTGAGCACCAATGAGCATCAGGGATATCACTACCATTAAGTAGCCCAAGATGCGTACTTAAACCATCAATGCTCTATTGAAAACACTTCAAAGACAAGAAATAATTCCGTTAAAGGCAAAAGGTGAGATAAAAGGCATGAATTCATATCCAGTACGACACATGTCTGCTCTAGGTGCAACAGATATGGATCTTTTTTAACATTCATTGCAGGTAAACTTTCTAATTTTAATTTTCTGGTGGGTACACAAGATTATAATACCTGGCTCACTTGAGTGTGGTGACAGTTAGATAGGATAATGCTTTAAGCAGAGTGGCACATTGTAGGGACACAGTCCACTACGTATCCTCTCTCTCACTCCAGCAGATGCATCCTGACCAGGGCTGGGAGCAAGGCTCCTGGTGACTATTCCATAAGCGGGTAAGATTACAGTATTTGAACATTTCTGAATGCTGACCTAGATTTTGCTGGGTGTTGTTCAACTCACAGAAATAGGAAGGAAGGCTCTCTGCCCTTAGGCTTTTCACTCTGGCAACTCAGTGCAAAGGGCTATTTTCCCCAACCCCCTGAACGAGAACTGGATGTTTCCTGGGTTTAACGTCGATTTTGACATGATTGCCATTTCCTATAAGGCCAATTTCCTTGCGGGAAGAAGTCCTTCCACAGGGTGAAATCCCAACAGCTTCATTTGTTTAAACTCCCTTATTGGTTTTACCGATGCAGGGTGTGGTCTTTTTCATTACGGAAGGTTGACAGTAAGTAAACAGCGGGAAATATGCCCTGAGCAGGCAGCCGGTCGATTTCCTTGGCTGCCCAGGGCAGGCAGGCTCCATGTGGTGGCCGGGTGGAGATGGTGCTGCAGCGGAGAGGCGCCCTTCGGAACAGGGCCGGGGGCGGCGAGGGGAGGTCGGGACCCCCGGTTTGGGCACCAGGGGGGCAGACTCGGGAACCCCGGCAGCCCCGGCTAGGTAGAGCAGGACAGGTTCCAGCAGCTCCCCCCTCAGCCCTCTCCACGCCTCCCGGGTTTTCCCCCTGGCTCGGGGTTTCCTGTTTCAGTTCTCGGCGGTCTCCAGCAGCAGGTGCTGGTTTGCCAACCTCGGCTCCAGAGGCGAAGGAGAAGGAAAGGCATTCCAGTGAGTTCTATTATTACAAGGAAGAAAACAAATTAAAGACACTTTAGCTTTTTTTTAGTTTTAGTACTCATTTTGCCAGTAATGAGTATTATTTCTAAATTTATTCCTGAACTTATAATTAGTATTAAGCATATAAATGTCTGAGAACCAAGTTTTTCACTATAAAAACAAAAAATATAAAATTAAAAGAAATGAAGTAAAAGATACTACCATCTTGCATTTGAATTTGAAAAATCAGAATGAGCTCATGATGCATTTTTTTTTTCTTTAAGAAATTCAGGGCTGGGGGCGCAGCTCCTTGACGGAAAATTTGCCTAACTTGTTAGAGATCTTGGGTTTGATCCCTAGCATGGGGGTAAGGCGGGCAGTAAGTCTACCCATTATAAAGGCCTACAACAATGACCAACCAGAGCTCATCCTACTCTCCAGACTATGATAATGTCTATAATTTCCCACTAAACGTATCTGGGCCAAAAAGTTTGGGGTCTGGTTGCATGTTTGGAGCAAGAAAGGTGTAAGCCGAAGACAGGTTGAGCATACCCTACCCGGATGGGGGATTCACATAATGGCTTCCTTCTGCAGTATTTACGATGGAAGGGAGGTAACTGCAGTAG